AATAAATGTATATTATAGCATACATATAAAAGAGAAAGACTATTTACTTATTTACTTGAATCATGAAATCTGGAAAATTACTTCTTCAAATTAATAAAATCGGGTAGATAGGTAGTTTTCAGGTACAACAGGTCAACATGAAGTAATTTTGCGAAATGACATGAGTAGTTTTCCTTTGATTTAGAAACTTTTAAGACGACAGAATAATTAATTTCGTTTGTGACATCATTTTCCACCATGACATTGATATATTATTTTGGTAGCTGAATTTTTATGGTTATTCAGATCTTGTAGAAACAGTTATAATTGTTTTGAGTTTATTGGTATTAAGCAGCGTGGGGATTATGAGGTTATATATATATATATATATATATATATATATATATATATACCTAGCACTTTGTTGCTAAGCCCACGCTGTCTGTCTTTCTCTTATTTATAAGCTCTTGATTTTTGCTTTTCAAAAGATTTTATTATTTAAACTGTGATAGGAAGTCAATTAAAAGATTCACTAAAAGTTTTTGGGTTATTATATACTAGCAACTCACCCTCGCTTCGCCTTGGGTTCGACCCTAGACGAAAATAATTAATCTATCTCACGGAAACCGTACAATTTTTTTATGATAAAAAGTTACTTTTGTGCCAAATTTCATTCAGATCCGTTCAGCCGTTCTGGCGTGAAGAGTAACAAATATCTATCCATCCTCACAAACTTTCACATTTATAATATTAGTAGGTTTAGTGGGACAGGATAATACTTAGCAAATAATAAATGAGAAAAAATCAAAAGGAATTTCAATATAAGGTTTCCGGTTTTTATGCTTCATCGTAAAAATGGTAATAAATGCAAGCGTAGGCGTGATTAAAGTACGAAACCTGAAGTAATAAAAAAACAAATTGTGAAAATTGATTAAGTGTCAGTTATACTCGCGGTAGGAGTTCTTTTTACCTTCAGTGCTCATCACGACTCGCACTTGACTGAACTATTTTTGCCTACTTGTTAAAGATAAATAATAATTTAATTGCGACACAGTTTTTTAACTTCTGCAACTTTTTCGTTTATATTTGTTTTATATATATATATATATATATATATATATATATATATATATATATATATATATATAATAAATATATAACTAACTTTTTCGTTTATATTTGTTTTTATATATGTACTGAAATTTCAATACATAAAAAAATAAAATAAATATGTAATGGTGAAAAGGAGATTTTTTTCACTGTTTTATTAACTAGTAATTAGAGGGATTCTTATTGTTCTGTAATATTCCAATTAATTAAATTTTTAAACATCGAGTTCATACAAAATCCCTAAAAAAAAATTTATAGTTTTCCCGAATAACCCAATTTTTCGGACAACTTTTCCAAAAAAAAAATACCCTAAAAACCTTATAACAAGCAAAGCAATTCACCGTTCCGGCCGCTGTTTTAACACATTTATTAAATTAGACGCTTTTTATTTTTATTTACAAACAAATATTAGTAATTAGTGCATATTAAGAATAATTTTATAGATGTGTCAAATATTTTTAACTAAAAATATTTTGGCGCCTCGAGTGGGTGTAGACAGGCGGTGGCTATAAACAGAATGTGGCTTCAGTAAATCATTTGTATTGATATAACGTGTTGATGTAATGAATGTTATATACACAATTTAATTTATGATTACGATTGATGTTGTTGTTAATTTTTATAATGGGTGGTAAATTTGTAGGAAATATAAAGAAATTATGCTTAGTTATATTGTAACAATTGAAAATTTCTTTCTTATAAGATTGAAGTCCGTGATTCGAATTAATTGTTTAATTTAAAAAAATTATTGGTTAATTTTCTTTGTCTGTTGTGCAAATTGTTATAAAATACCTACTCAAGCATGTACTTTAAACTTCTAATGATTTTTAATATTAGAAATGTTTTTTTGTCGGTATGTTCGGTATAGGCCGGATTTTTAGCGAAAGTGTGACATCGCACTGGTGTCGTGGGTTTTGGGACTTCGTGGCCGATTTGGATGTCTAAAACTACAAAATGCAAATAAAATAATATTGAAAGTGCTCAATTTTTTTTTAATTCAATTGATACTGTCTTAGAAAAAATGTAATACATAGTTTTAGAGTTAGATTAATAATTTTACTATACTACCCACTTTGTATATTTTTAAATTAATAAATATTATTAATATGTTAAAAATTTTAATTGAGTTCATTTGGCAGATTCATTTTCAATGCACCCAAAGTTCGTGGTAGACACGAGATCTGTGTATTTTTTATTACGAGTATATAAAACTATTAGATCGTATTGTAGGTTCATAAAAATAGTATCATAAAGTTAAACACTAATATAAAACAATTTTAAAGTTAATTATCATCCCATTTCGCCTATAGATTTAAGATTCTAACACTCCATATATTACTTGTCTAACAATATTTTCGCAGCATACAATGAATTTCAAAATATCATATTTTAAAATCTTCGATCAACAGTAGTATTGTTGATCGAAGTTTAAAATATCATATTCGGCAGGTATTTGATATATTGAGGTTAGCGCTCTGTTATTTCATATTTGAATGTTTATTTTCTAGTATATTTTCTGTCTATATACAATACATTTGCCTGATAATACTAGAAAAAAGAATCAACCCGTAAGGAACACGTTCCTCCGTCCATCCTTCCTGTCATAAAGGGTATGTATGCAATAATAATATAAGTCAGTGGTAGCCCAGTGGTAACGCGCTCGCTTGAGAAACCGAGTGAAGCGAGTTCAAATCCCGGGTCTCGCACCTCTATTTTCATGTGCGGATCATTTCTAACACGATTACCATTTGCCTTACGGTGAAGAAAAACATCGTGAGGAAACCTGCATGTCTGAGAGAACCTAACAAGTTTTCGAAAGACATGTGAAGTCCTTCAACCCGCACTTGGCCAGCGTGGTGGACTACGGCCTGATTCCCATCGTATTGAAAGGAGGTCCGTGCCCAGCAGTGGGACGTTAAATAGGGCTGAATACATACAATAATATGAGTCATCATAATGAATCAAATGAGTATAATCTTTGAAACGACTGGACTGATTTTGACGGAACTTTCACTGGAAGATAGCTGATGTTATAAGTAGTAACATAGGCTACTTTTATTTTACAAAAAAGAATTAGTAATTCCTCTCAAAAAAAAACGTACCTAAGGACGAACCCCAGCAAAGCGAGGTGAGTCGCTAGTTAATAATAATTCTCGTCGATCTCAATTGCAATGTGGCAAACTTCACATCTCTTCTATTATTATGATCATAATTTTCATGCGCATACGCAGTTTTGATATCACTTGGTTCTTCAGTGTATATTTTAGTTATTGATATTTAACAACAAAAATCCATGAACATAATCTTACTTTATATTTAAACTAGCGGACCCGACAGACGTTGTCCTGTCTACACGTCTTTAATTTGAAAATTTCAAACTCTTTTTAATAATTTTTTTGATGAAAATTATTATTCAAATTGTGAATCTAAACCATTCCCAGATCCCCTTGAACACACACAAAAAATTTCATCAAAATCGGTCCAGTCGTTTGAGAGAAGTTCAATGACATACACACTCACAGAAGAATTATATATATAAAGATGTTATTTTACAATGAATAAGACAATTTAACGATAAAAAATTTCAACTCTACGCTTAACAGACATAAAGTTAATTTGTATATTTACACTCTCATAATACAGTTTACGTTTGAAAGTGTTGATCACACGTGTTAAGCTATAAATTTTACTATTCCAAGAATATACTAGATATTATTTACTCACTATTAACATTAGATATACCTATTAAAAAAAATTTTGCACGTAAATTTTGTTATAAAGAAACTACTTAAGCATAAAATTATACCAGTATTTACAGTTTTTATAGGGTTTAGTACTCGAAAGGTGAATCTGTGGATTCATCCGTCCTTTCGTCTGTCAGAGGGCTGTATCTCATGAACCGTAATAGGGGGGGAGTTGAAATTTGTGTGTATTTCTATTGACGCTATAACAACAAATAATAAAAAGCCAAGATGGCAAATGTCGAAAACGCAGCCATTCAAATTAAAAAAAAAACGGTTATGGTACGGAATCTTTCGTGTGCTAGTCCGACTCGCACTTGACTGATTTTGTTTACTTTTTAGTAAGATTTAATTAAAATTTTGTATTTCAGAAAAACACGCCGAGTTCGAAGTTTAAATATATATTTTTTATATTTTTGCTAAAATTTTTTGGAGGCCTACGTTACTTTCCGATCCGTTAATATCTATTAAAGAATATATCGAGTCCTTCTTTCATAAAAAAATTATAAGCACATTCACGTTTACAATATTAGTAAAGATTAAATTTATCTATGATAAAAGTATAATTAAAAAAAATACAGGTTGAGGTATATTTAAAGTAAATAGTTTCTATACTTATATAGGTATTTAGTTAAAATCACCCCCTATGAACATAAAGTTCGACGTCTAGAAGCTAACTATAGAAAAATCTGAGAACTACTCGTAGTTAACGAGAGTCAAATCTAAACTTTATAATAATACCTATGAACTTGCTCTTGCACTATTCGATTTATATACATTAGTGTTCGCCCAGTGGTCGGTCTATAATCATTATAGGTATAAAAAAACTGTATCCAATTTTTTTATTCATAATACTAAAGATCGAAGAAGAAGAAAATCGGTTGATAAACAGAGGAGAAGAAGGCACTGAACGGTTTTACCTTTGCCTATTTATACTAGCGACTCAACCTCGCTCCGCTCGGTTCGTCCCTAGTTACGTTTTAACATTTAGTATAGATTTCTCAAAAATGAGATATTTTACCGCGGTAAAAAGTACCCTATATTATTACCCGTTACAAAAGTTGTTGGTCTGAGATTGCTTGTACCCCTACATATCGACATGACAATTAATATGAAAATTTTACTCTTGTACACTAAACTTATATCTTTATCAATCTCTATTTCACGTACCTGAGATATACGCTTTCCTTCCTTCTTTGGCGGTGGCGGCAAGAGGTCCAAATGCTTGGGTCTGTTCTGGTTTGTCTTTGTCTCCTCCACACTCTTAGATGTTGATGCAGCACCTGACTCCGAAGCACCACATTCTGAGGCCGGTTCTAGTGACAATAGCGTTTAAGTAAATTTCACTGGAAAATTAATAATTAGTTTTTGGTCACGTGAAGTACTTTTAGCTAGCAGCGGTCGGTATTATTTAGATATTCGTTTTTAGTCAATAACGCTCGTCTCTTGTAAAAATACTCTAAATTGTAAATTTTGTATCCAAAAAAATATTACGTATGACATTCTTTCAAAATAAAAATTAAAACATGTTGATGATGAACAACAAACTAGTATTAAGTGAAATTTGAGAGGAAATGGCACGACAGAAGTTCTAATTAAAATGAAACCGTGTACCGTATGTTCAATCTTCGTCATAATAATTATCGTCACTATTTTGCGCAGTTGTTACACATTTAATACACAATGCTTTTATGTCTTACAAACAAATAGCAATTGGCAGAGAATAAAAGCATATATATAAATTAAATAATATAACAAATACAGGGTGTTGTACAGGGTGTGTTTTTTATCGTTCAGTTGATAAGTAAAGTATTGAAATATCTATGAAGATTTATGGGACGATAAATGTATATACTGAATACCTTTTATCAACATGTTCACAATATGCACACCGGAGAATTGAAATCGTCACCTTTGAAATAAACAAATTGAACACAATTCCTTTACATGATTCGAAATGACAATTAACTTTAACTCAGAGCTCTAGCTAGCTTTAACTAAAGCGTTAAAATTGCAGAGAATACTTGACTTCTAATAGAGGAAACTAAAACTGTAGCGTACTCTTTAAAACTCTATCTTTAAAAGTCGACTTTAGAAGAATAGGAACGTACACTCCGAAACTGTGTATTTTTACAGTTGTGAAATATACAGAAGAAGAATAGATACTCAGTTCGGAAAGAGTTCGCTTTGTCACGTCCATTTTTTATTTACATGCTACGCGATTGAATTAAATAAATTGTTCTAGAAATAAAATATCCTTCTTAAAAATTTATAACAATTAAAAAAGGTTTTATGTGAATTGAAAATTATAGTTATAATTTCGTTCGTAGCTTTAGTAAGTAGTTTAAGTTCAGTTATAAACAGTTCGAAATTTTTTATTTCTATTATTGTAATAAAAAAAAATGTGCGATAAACCGCATATGCCTAACAGCTTCATTATTATTTTTTGCATTTTAATAAAATCACCTATACATATAATAAAATTGTAACTAAGCCGAATCTGTACATTAAATATTTTTTGGAAAATCTTATTGAAATAAACATTATTATTATCAATACAAAGGTCGAATCTATAGTTTTTAGAATATTTGTCTGTCTGTCTGTTACCGCATCACAGAAAAACCACTGGAGGGATTTTGATGAAATTTGGTATGGTGATAGCTGGTAATCCGGGTCAACATATAGGATACTTTTTAACGCGGGGAAATGTCTCATAAACCTAAGAATTTGGTTTTTGTTCATCTGAACGCGGGCGGAGCCGCGGGCAATGCTAGTAACACTATAAGAAGACAGTTATAAATACAGCTTGCTAACGTTTACTTTAATACAAAACAGATCTTTCATTATTTTAACATAACCACTCCTTGTAAATGTAATTAAATACTATTAGTTTACACTAAACTCTACATAATGTACGTAAGTCTTCTCGTTAGTTGTTCAACTTAAAAATATGATATGTAAAATATTATTCCAATTATTTTATCATGGACTAAAATAGCTTTAGACATTTTATTTCAATGTTTTACGACATTTGTTTTTTTTAACTAAATCAATTGTACGCTGAAAGTATTTTAAAAAGAAGTTCTTAAGTCAATAAATCTAATTTGATTAGGTACTATTTAATATTGTTTAAATTCAATTTGTGGACTGAAAATGTTTAATGGAAAAGAAATATTATTCACCTTTTCAGTACTGTTAGAATTAAACGCTAGAGTCTGATGCTATTTTATGAAATAAAAAATATACAGTAAAAGACAAAGCTAAAGAGCCCATATGTAAATTATAATTGCAATCAATTAGCTACAGCTATTGATTGTTATTTTATAATAAGTAAATCGGTCAAGTGCGAGTCGAATTCGCACATGAAGGGTTCCATACCATCTACATGTACTTTTTTTTAATATGACGTTTACTCTATGTTTGTAGTATTAACTTCGACGTACGTTAAAAAATATTACTTGAATTTTTACTTTTTTATTATTTGTTTTCATAGCGGCAATAGAAATACATACTTTGTGAAAATTTCAACTTTCTACCTATTACGGTTCATGAGATACATCCCTCTGGCAGACGGACGGACGGACAGCGGAGAGATAGTAATAGGGTTCCGTTAGCACCCTTCGCGTATGGAACCCTAATAATCAAAAGACCTGTTTTATAAAATATAAAGGAAATGTCCATGGAAAAACCATAGATTTTCTTAATAAATGATAGAATATTCTATAAACAGTAAACCAGTCTTAAATTTCTGTTCCAAAGAAGCGAACAAAGTGTTACAAGCGCATTCAATATATAAAGTTGCAATACAAAATTCCTTTGACATTGGCAAACTAAATTGGCATTCCCTACGTGACCAATTTTAAAGTACAGTTCATAATATCAATACGAGCTGGTTTCATGTCTTACATTTAAAAACATCGATTTGGCCTCTAATTTCATGATATAATTCTAGTATAATAAGTCTGAGATTTGTACTGTCTACAATATAGGCACATATATTTTTGCTTTGCCATTTCAGACAGATATAGACAATTCATTCTGTTTTCGACCAAAATTAGGTCCCTTGATGGTTCTTGACATCGGGCTTTGTACTACTAACATTTGCACGGTCAATAAATTGTGCATTACTGTTTACTAGCGACTATCCCCCACTTGCCTAACTCTATCACGCGTTCTTTTATAAATCCACATTGCACCACGAGTTTTCTTTCGATTTAAACTAAAATTATATTGTATTATTTAAAAAACGTTTATTCAAAATTGATGTCGCAGAAACCAAAGTTAGATAATGCGAAATATTTTAACTCTTATTCCATGTCTAAATTCAATACGCCTTTACAAATACAACGTAGAATACAAGTATTTCGAAGTCACTATTTCAAAGCTAAGAACTCAGAATGTGTGTAAATGCCTATTCGAAGATGCCACGGGTTACCGTATATTCCTATTTTATTTACACGTTGAACGAGTTTTGCGTGCGAATGTATCGTGGAGCACGTTTTCTGCATTAACGTTCAGATGAAGGTGAAGGTCTATTTGACTTGTAGTCAAGAGAGTACATGTGATAAGAATACAGGAAATAGAAATATATTTGTATTCTTTTCTATTATATTTGATACTAGCATTGCCCGCGGCTCCACCCGCGTTCAGATGACTAAAAAGTAAAAACCAAATTCTTAGGCTTTAGATGTTAGTATAGGTACTCTTTTACTCAGAAATGAGATATTTTCCCGCGGTAAAAAATATCCTATATGTTGACCCGGATAACCAGCTATCACCATAGCAAGTTTTATCAAAATTCGTTCAATGGGTTTTCTGTGATGTGGTAACAGACAGACAGACAGACAAAAAACTATAGATTCGGCCTGTGTATCGGTAATAATGTTTGTTTCAATAATTTGATTTTACAAAAAATATTTAATGTACAGATTGGGCTTAGTTACAATTTTATTATATGTACTCATATAGATTACGCGTGCGATATTTTAGCTACATAAAGGATATAAGTATATAAAAATTATTTGTGATGATAAAAATCTTATTTGTCATCCCTTCGACTGGTTGGTCCAACTAATCGGAATAAAATTACGTTCATAAGCCTTACGATGGGTAGCTTTTTGAGCATGTTTTATGAAATTTATGTCCGATACGAGTGTAAACAAGAGAATTTCGCTGAAATGATAGAAAAATAATAGACAGAGGAGAAAAAGGATAAAATGCTTATACCTATATCGAGCTTTCATTTTTCTCTTGCTTTGCATAATGTATGCGATGTCACAGCTTCATTGTGGTATGAATGCATTTGCATGTTCATTATAGTGTATGCTAGTATCGTGTTCATTATAGTATATTATGTTTAACTGCCTCGGTGGTATAGTGCCTAGCATGTACGGCTGCACACTTGGAAGTTCTGGGTTCGAGTCCCGGGTCGGGCCAAGTTTAGTTATTGAGTCTTTTTGTATAGTAATTCTCAGTAACAGCCCGGAGTTGGGAAGTCGAGGCAAGGCGAGGCACGTAAAGTCATCGGTCCTGCGCCTTAACTCCGGAGTATGAGGGTGACAGGAATAGAGATGCACTTGTGTCTGCGCGTACACTTGTGCAAAATAATATCTCCTGTGCAGTTGGCTAGTCTCAATGACATTGGCCGCCGTAGCGGGAATAGGCTAGGAGAACATCATAGTGTATGAAAATTAGTTTATTTATGCTATAAAAGTTTAGATGAAAGAATCATATAGATACATATCTTTTACTAGATACTCACTCTCGCTTCGCTCGGGTTCGTCTATGGCCTTCCCAGGGACTTAAACTATCTTCTAACCAAATTTCATCTAAAGCGGTTCAGTAGGTCCAGAGATTACCCCCTACAACGTCACTGGCTCACAAACTCACAAACTTTACATCTTTATAATATTAGTATAGATTATCAGTACGTGGGCGATCGTTAAGCGAACGTTTTTTTTTCGGATAAGATGTAAAAATTGTTTTTTTACAGAATAAGATATCTAGACAAACTTTAAAAGCAAGTTATCAAAGTACAAAATTTGACCCATACCGTTAGAGCCTAAGCTAAGATACACGAAATAACCTTATATATATATATATATATATATATATATATATATATATATATATATATACACACAAAAATTAATTATTTATTCTAAGTCCTTAATTGTTACAGATTGTTGTTTTATTACTCCTTTGATTATGGAATAGATGAACGGATGCGAGGTCAGATAGTAATTAATAATTAGTAAAATGGTTCTATTTCGAGTATTAAAAGTATACAGCTATTGTAAATAAATTAAAATGCATC